AATCTGCACATGGAGGTGCACAAAGTGCTGTGCCTGCCACGAAATCTGCACATGGAGGTTCACAAAGTGCTGCACCTACCACGACATCTGCGCATGGAGGTTCACAAAGTGCTGCACCTGCCACGAAATCTGCACATGGAGGTTCACAAAGTGCTGCACCTGCCACGAAATCTGCACCTGGAGCTGGAGTTGCCTAGAGCTTGAGCTGTTGAAACCAGAGCTGGTGTATGAGCGGTGTATGATGACTGGTGTATGATGAGTGGTGTGTGATCAGTCGTGTATGATGAGTGGTGTATGATGAGTGGTGTATGATGAGTGGTGTATGATGAGTGGTGGTTGAACAGCTGCTGAATGTCCGTAACACGGAAGTTTTGCACACTAAACTTCCTTTGATCATAAGATCCAAAAAGAAGCCCATAGCCGGCCCTGGCATGTTTTTCACCTGAAGACCTCCTCAAAAAAATCCGCCCCAGCTCCAAACCAGAAATCCAACCAGAAGTCGCTCCGCCGGAAAATCGCGTCGTCGGTCGCAAGCGCATCGGTCGCTTTTCGTTTTCACTGCAGATCTTGCGGCTTTGGCTTCGTCAGCAGTGGCGTGCAGAACTTATGCATACCTGGCCGAATGCCGAGCATTCGGTGTATGGCGCGACGCGGTACAGTAGAGGGTGAAGTGAGTGGGAGACATAGGACAAACATGGTGAAAGGGCCGAAGAACAAAACAGACTGACGTGGGTGGTTTCAACGCAAGTGGATGCAAAGCGGTCCAATCATCCCAAGTCCAAGGATTGAACATATAAAGTGGGGATATTGATATCTGAAAGCACAACCTCTAGAAAAGTTCCGTCCAGGCTGTTTGGATGATAGTTATTAGTTATCCAACTGGTGTCATTGACATGGCTGGGTGATTGAAAGATCCAAACATAGGGAGAAAGTGAGAAGTCTGGAGTATGTGTGTAGGGAAGACATGGATCCAGGACCAATGATCAAACCCCGACTCTTCGCAACAGTGGCTGTCATGAAACGGCGTCAAATCGATCTTAGGGATAAGACATCCATCTTAGCGGTGGCTGTCATGAAGCTGCGTCTTTCAACAATCCAACATGAGTTGGACATTGATGTGGCCCAAAGATGCTATAACCCTGGGACCCGCTGATTGATACACCCGGGAAGATTGATTAGCATGGAACCTGAGAATTGACCTTTAGAAGACTATTTTCCTTCACAACCCTGTGGTTTTCAGGCTCCATGTCAATCTTCCGGGGTGTACCCGAGAGGTTTTGGGCGGGTTCTTGTCGAGGTGCATTTGGCCGAGTGTGCCGGCATCTTCTCTCTGCAGCACTGGATGCAATCCTCGTAGTACTCTTGCTGGCTGCCTGCAAAGTCAATGCTAAATCCAATACTCCACCCTGGTAGCGATGGCCTCCAAGCTAATAGCGATGGCCAGCAGATCTAGAAACCACCTATACTCCCTCAAATGATTCATGGAAGTGGAGTTCACCACCTGTTTGGTGTTCGGATTGAAAAGGGTCATCCAAGGGGGCATGCCATCCACGTAACCATCGATGATTTCAGGGAGTGTACGTAGAAACTATACCTAAATGTGTCATGTCACCCAGCAGAATGATGAGCAAAACCAGAAAGAGACTGCCCCCAAAAGTGCCACTCAAACAGGTCAATGGATCTTTTGGCGGGCTTCCAATGCTACACACCACATCACCCTACAGGTTTCTCTCTGCTGGGCGAATATCATGGATATTATTTGGATTGACTTGTGCTCGTCCCGGTCCATGTCGAACAATCACCTCCCACATATGCTATTTTGGAAAGTCCGGACCAAAGCATCACAGCCGAGGTCGAAGTCTCTCCTTCCTCCCAACTATACTCCCTCCTTCCTCCTCTCCTTTGAAGTCTGTCCTTCTCGCAGTCCCCACGTCCTTCACTGCACCGAGTGGCACAACTTCTTCTCATCCCAGCTCAAGCCCTTCGGCGGTGGCGGCGGCGGTGGTGGGTGCTCCATCTCACGGAAGCTGCTGCCGCGGCGGCTCGGCGCCGCCTGAAGTCGGGCTGCTGGCAACGAAAATGGCTGGAGGAATTGTTCACGGTGAGCAAAGGTTCTGACAAGAATCCCTGGGAGACAAAACAGGAATGTTCACGTGCTTGGCTTTGACACATCTCCTGTTCATCGGTGTTTCCTCCACTGTTTCCTTATTGTTCTCCTTGTGGCGTTCGAAGTGCTTGCGCTTGACCATTTCAGAGTATTCCTGTGAAACCAAATTCCCTCAATTCGGTGAACATCTGGCGGATTGGCTCAGCTCCCATCTCATCTGACTCCAACTCGATCGAGATGACCGGATGTCGTGCAAACGAGACGACATGCGCCAGGCGGACCGACTACAGCGCTTCGACTGAGACTGGGGATGTGTTTTAAACCTCTGACTCGACCGGAATCCACTGTAGAACACTTGGGGTGTTAGAGTGATACAGGACTATGAGTGAACGGAAATCTCATTTTGCGTGGCAAGTGCTCCAGAGCTGAGCTTGGACGTGGGGCAAGCATTCAGACTCCTCGTGAATGCAGTGGCTTTTGGTTTGCCCGACGGCTTTCAGATCAAAAGAAATCGAACAATGGCCCAGGCCTTTTTTTGTACCACAAGAAGTAAATCTCATGTTCAGAACAATGGCCCAACATTTATGAACATGACCCAACATTAGATTCGGCCTAACATGTATGAAGGAACCAAACAACCTATCATGTTCTTTCACGTTCTCGTTCTTTCGCCTTCACCGAGGGCGTCACCTCCACGTGCGACCTCAGAGTCGGTTCCAGGTCCCCAAATCCGGGAACCGCGGTTCCGGGCGGAACGGGTCCCAAACGGTGGTGTTTTTCCGGCAGATCGGTTTGAATGAGATTCCAATCCAAGGACCTGGACTGAAAAGAAGGACATCTTCATGCATCTTCCAATCTTTTCGGAGTTACTACCGTGTGCAGGTATGACGGTTGACGGATTCAACGCAGATTTTGACCGACCGGCCGCCACGCAAACCTTTCGCTTGCACAGAGAAGCTTTACCTAAGGACCTACTGATTGTGGTGCAAGCTTGTGTTAGGAAAAAGAGTCTCATGGATCAAAAAGTCTTTGGACACCAGAACTTCAACACGATTTCCAGCACCCGACAAAAGCCCTGGCGACCAATGGCCCTTTTCTCTCCACCGCTCTCCATCTGCTCGGTCAATCTCTCGCAATGAAACGCTCGCGAAGACGTTCTGGATGGTTCCAAACGTCACTGGCTGGAAACCAGTTCTCAGCCCAGTCCAGGTACTGATCGCGCAAATCCTCAGCATGGAAAACATATGCGTGGTGACGAACAAATAGCAAGAACATATGTTTTCAATGTCTTCCCAGGATTCCTGAGTCGACTTTAACAAAAACAAAGGAACGTACAAAAGAAAAGGTAGTAAGTAGTAGTATGCTGAAAAAAAGACACAAAAAAAAGAATATGACGATCCCTTCAAGCATCCCAGTGGACCTTCTGCATCGACCGCGCTCCAACAGTTGGATGAAGCACCAAGCCTTCGTTCAGCACGGCGGCGCTCCAACTGAGGCTGCTCAAGCTGGTGATGAGCACCTCGGCAGAGGCCATGCAGAGCAGCGCCTCTCGAGGATTGTTGTTCACGATGATGTGAACCTCTGGCAGGACCTCATCACCTCAAGTGGATGGAACGAATCCAAACGAATGGAGTTCAATCACCAAAAACCATCCCCACAAAATCATGGAAATTGTGATATGTCAGCAATCATGGAGGTTCTGAGACTCCGAAGCAAATGATGGGTGCTAAAATTCAGAACATGCCAATACGGGTTTGGGAAGCTCATGGCGACAGGTGGGCTCATGAATTTCATTTGCTAGGCCATGTTCAAGTGAGGCCATGTTCATTTGCAATCCGTTCAAGTCGAAGGAAAAGGTTGGACCATCCCTGTCTGTTCTTCATCACTTGTCTCAGCTGGAGCACAGGTCGGATTCTGGAGCTTGGCCATGGTATGAAAGATTGGGCCTTCGTCATCCTCCGGAGACGCTTCAAAGCCTCAGTGTCCAATGGTAGCCCTAGGTCTCCAAGTACCTCCTTAGAAGGTATGACTGGACCCTCCTGGCACCCACCCCAGTCCCACCTTCTAAGAAGGTCCTTGGAGCCCTAGGGTAGGGCATGATTTGCATGGAAAGGGGTGCATGATTTGTCGCAAACAGGCGACACCATCAGTTCTGTCCATCAGTTCTGTTTCACCCCAAGACCATGCCATCCACTTCTATGATTCTTGCAGGGACTGTAGGTGTTTTTTTTCCACATGGCTTCCGAAAATAAGCTAAGGAGAAGGGCGCCTGAATGCACCTGGAGAGTCTGTGAAAATACCGAACTGAGAAGGATCGTCTGGCGGCAGATCGACTGATTGCTCTGTCGGACCTCAGGTCCTGGCTTCTGAACCAGAAGTGTCCGTGTTCAAAACGCTTGCGAAATGCAGTGCAAAATGCTTGCGCAATTTGTGGCACCCAGTGTGCAGGAGAGATGTCCAGTGTCGTTTGTTGAAGAACCAGAGCTCAAACAGGAAGGGTCTATACCACTGGTTGTTTTGTTCGACGAACACTCCTAGACCCAACGAAACCCACCTCACCTGCCAGTCCCTTATACCATGTACTCCTTCTCTACTCCTCGTCGTCGAATCCGCCCCCATGGAATCCCCACCCCCCACCCCCGCCACCGGTGCCGCCCAAGGCACGGAAGCCCTCGAGGCCTCTGCGCCGCAGAGCCCCGCGGCCAGTGCCCAACGCCTCGGTGAAGACGTGCAGCGCCAGGCGCGGCGCTGTCCCGCGCGACCCGCGCGGGGCGCGGGCGGCGTCGGCCGGAGCCAGGGCACGTGCTAAGGCACAAAGCCACCTGGAGAGGATGGGAATGGTCGAAAAATCGAGGACACCTATATAAGTACCGCTATTAATACGTTATAGTTTTTAGTTGTTAAACTTCAAAAGGCTTCTTTCCCCAAAGAGATTCTGGGGCGCCCCAGCCCAGCTACTGCTAGTGGGTCTGAGGTCTGAGAGCTGTTTTGCAGACATTGAACTCAAATCCAAGTGCCATGGTGATTTTCCCAGTCAGCTGCGACGCTTCGGCATGAAAATGAAGCACAAGTGGACGTGGCTGGCCATGAAAATGATTCAGGACAACCATGACCAACTTCGAAAATGACTTGTAAATATAACTTCAGCATCTCAACCAACCAAACCGTTTGTTAAGGTAATTTGACAGCTAAGTCTTGATCCCTGCCAAAGGACCACAGGGGCCACAAACAAAGACATGCCCCAAACGAGTTCACTTTCTGCTGTTGAAACCACTCAACCATCACGACCATGGTTCTTAGATGCTCTTAGAATTGAAGGGGCAAATGTCTTTCTTGACCCTTTTGGCCTCCGAAGAGGCTCGCCCTGCTCGGCCTGGGGAAGTCCGCCTTCAGCTGCTGGTTCAGGGCATAGCCCGACTTCTCTCCCACGTCGCCCCTTCGCACGTGCATCGCCACGTGCCGCAGCCCGCCATCGCCGTAGCCGCACGGCGCGGCGGCCGCGCGCGCGGTGCCACCGCGCGGCGCGGCCGCGAAGCGGCGCGCGCTGCGGAAGAGGCGCTGCAGGGTGGGCGGTGTCTGCGGGAAGCGCTGGAGGAAGCGCCAGGGAGGACCTTCCAAATCGCCTGAGGTGCAAAGCAAGTGCTGGCAGGACAGGGGTCTAACAACGATCTTGTGATGCGGCAAAATAGGGAAACAAAAGGAAACAAATATTCTACGAAAAGGGGTTCAGCAGCGTATTTGGCTCATCTTGCCTGCCAAGGGAAGAAAACAACATGTTTTCGTTGCTGTCCAGCTCTCCTTGAAAGCTGAAACACGCGAAGGACTTGGAGCTGTTCTCCAGTTCAGGATATTCGTAGCCCCACAGCAGTTGTCGCCCTTCGGGCTCCTCGCTCTGCGCCAAGAAGTCTTTTTGCAGGTCGAAGCGCCAACATCTCCTCGGATGTTGCTGTTCCGGAGCAATGCAAAATATTTGAAAAGAATCCGAATCTTCCCGAAAGAGGATTCACCCGCAAGGAAGCTTCAAAGACAAGACCAGGTCTGCAAAATGTGTCCCCTTACAGGAAAAATAAAACAACAATAATATAAAACCTCTGCCAAAACCAATAGAAACAATAGAAACATAAACACTCGGCCAAAACATCCAAAACCAGGTGTCAAAGGGTAGTCCGGGTTTTGGGTCTGCTCCTCAGGACCATCGGCCGGACTCTCGTGGCACCACCTAAGCAAGCAAGCAAGCGATATATGGTCTGAGTGTGTGTGTGTGTCCCACCCTGGACAAAGGGTCTCACCCCACCACTTTCACACAGGCAGGGGGGCAGTGATCCCTTCAGCAGTCACTGCCTAACAAAGACGCTGCTGATCGGATGTGATATTCGGAGAGGACGCTCTCCGAACGTACCTGCCGAGTTTTCCGCACGCTGTCACCCTACTCTTCAACTTTTTGATTCATGGTCCTTCATGTTTCCACCCCATAAACATTCGTCCCCAGCAACTGTGCAGCCGGTTCGCGTTTCCGCCACTTGCGAGTGCCAACATTGTTCAACAATACAGTTTAAGCTGACCTTTCCACCTTGCTGTTCCATCGCCTTCCTTCCCAACGAGACAATTGCGTTAACTGAAAATCCAAGTTCGAAGTGTGTCTGGTTGGTCGGCTCGCGTCTAAGGGTAAAAGGTGCCATGAACAAAGGAGATTCGATGACTCCAAGTGTTGCAAACTGCGCTATACTTCAGAAGTCTCTCAAAAAGGTGCCGAAGAACTGCGGAAGCCTCTACTTGAAGGGGCATTTCGGAAGCCCCAGTTGCCAAGCCGCACGGGGCCATGTGTCCAGGAGCTGGGGTGCCTCAGATGCTGTGGGCCTTCCACAAAAGAGCTCCAAAAGAGCTCGGAAACACCAAGACCCCTGGCAAGCGAAAGTAGAGCACAACACGACCCCCCTGTCGCCATGTTTTTTTTTGTGTCCTCATCTCAAGGCAAAGGCAAAAAATATATAGAACCACTTGGGAATTCAACTGCATCCAGTCAAATCCAATCAACTTATGTGTGGAAACCATCAATCGGCCACTCTGGTCCCCTGTTGGTTCCAGGTTCTTTACACTTCAAGGGAAGCCAACTAATTCCACTTCAAGTCCTGGAGAGCGGTGGCCTTGTCCCTTTTGGTGGGTTCGATTGTTCTTTTTTCACACCTTTTGTGGAGCCTTTTTCTCACTTCACTTGGCAAGGGCTCCAAAATACGAGGTACCAAATAAATACGAGCTCCAATGACAACCCGTTTCATGTTTCTCTGGCTCACGATGTTTCACCCACTTCTGAAGCCAGTCGTCCTCACCGATCACCGTCCTCACCGAAGGTCCGTCCTCCGATCCAGGTCACAAGAGGCCACCGGCGGGTGGTAGGTTCACCACACCACCGTCGAAGCCCAAGAGCAGCGCTGCACCCATGAGCTCGATGGCCTACGGACAAGAGAGGTGGATGATGGCTCTGAAAAAGGGGAAAACCCAGTGGGACAAGGGTTGCTGTCAGGGTTGCTGTCTCCAGATTTCTGAGGTTCATTCATCAGCCCTTGGAATTTGAATGTTTGTTGGATAGATTCCAGTCTGCTTTGAAAGTTGAAAGGATTCTTCTCCAAATTGCTGGTCCTTTCGTCCAAGGAAGGAATAGAATCAACTGGTGGGGTCGGGTGGCGTCGAGTTACGGTCATCAAC